TTTATTACCGAAATAACAAAACCTCTTGGGCTGTAAAAGAGAGCAGATGGGATGATTAACGGCAGCAGCTGTTACATCAATATTCGGAAAATCATACTCATACCATACATGAGTTTTAAATATTCTATGCCTCAGCTTCCCAATTCTTTAATGCTCCTCTCTCTGCCTCCAACATGCAACAAAACAATATGAAGATAAGTGAAATCAGGAAGATGTCTATGTTGATGATTCTAGCTAATCAAATCAATTTCACTGGTTTGATTTTGACAAAACATATTAACCATTTTGGAGTTACATAACTTACCTTTGTAATCCATGATTAGATTTTGTGGATTTTTGCATAAGTAATTTCAGGTTACAAAATGCTCAACTGTCTTAAGTGTTTTACAGGCATATAATTCTAATTCAGTCCTCACAAAAATCGTTGGAGGTAAATACTATTATTATTCACATTTTGTAGGTGTGAGAAAACTGTACAAAGTAAGTGCCTTGCCCAAGGTTAAGCTAGGAAATAACAGCTTGGATTTAATCTCACTTCAAAGCCCATGCTCCTAACAATGTCGTTCCTTAAGATACAGAAGAAATACAATCCCCTATCTTCTCACATTGGTTCACAACTAAAGCATGTATTAAAATATAATTTGTATTTAATGGCTATTAAATGAGAAATTTAATGGCCTTTTTAACAAGAAATCCACAGATGGGGGTCTTGGCTTCCTGAAGATTAACAGCAGGGAAGGCAGCTCAAAAAATGTTTTACAAGTGACATTTTAGTTTCCTCGGCAACTCAGTTTTCCTGAATCAAAATATAAAAAATAATTATGCTTTACGTGGTACAACAAGGTCATTCTAGCCCTCTCCTTCTCCCTTTAGTTGGAAATTAGGTGAAGTATTTTTTACAGTCTTATAAGAGAGAAGTACTGATGCATCTGTAAAATAATATGGTTAGATCGATCAAATCATAATAGCTTCTTGAACTTTTTAAGGTAACTACAAAATAACTCATCCTCCTAGGGTCCTTTTTTTGAAAATAAATCATCATTTGTCAGCCTTGGCTAGGTAGCTCAGTCATTTAAAGTGTGGTCCCATATGCCAAAGTTGTGGGTTCAATCCCCGGTCAGAGCACATACAAGTAACAACCAAAAAGTGCATAAGATAAGTGGAACAATAAATCAGTGTTTCTCTCCCTCCTTTATTCTCTCTTTCTAAAAATCAATAAATAAAAATAAGAATTTCAAAAGCAAAAACCATCATTTGTTTCTGCAATCAATCACTCTCAGTGCCAGGGTTTCTATTTTGAGATATCAATCTGATATCTAACAATCCAGCAGTTGCCAATTGGAGCTGTTTTACACAGTGTATGGGAGAATTAGTAAAGGAACAGGCTAAAGATTTGTTTTAAATGGGATACAGAAAGACTAAACTAGCAGCAAGAGTTATTTCTCAGGATAACAGGGACTCCACTAAGCAGTTTGAGCTGTTATATTAGTATCAGCCAATGCTTTTTGAGCTGGGGTTATGGATTCAATTCCTGAATACAGTACATGGAAAATTTTAATAACTGTCATAGAAGATATTTCCAAGAAACAATCTTTTTTTGAAGTAGAGGAGGAACAAACTTTCCTCCACCCATAAGATTCTTTTGACTGGTCAAATAATCACATATGCACAACACATATTAACAAGAGAAAATAGCAAAATTTAATATGTATGGGAATCCCACATACATGAGACTAAGAAACCCCCACAAGCAAGTAAGGTTCAGGGACAGAAAAGGAACATGGGTATGTAAGACGTCCTGAGCTGGGGACGAGGTAAGGTGCCTTGGGGGCTTCGAAAGGGTTATTGCAGGGTGGTTGTTAGAGCCCTAGTAAAAGAAGTTGCCCCGTCCTACAGGTCAAAAGAGGTAATTTGTTATGGGCTACGCCTCTAATTCAAGTTTTTCTAGGTAGTGGCAACTACCTAGTTGCCCATGGGTCCATGGGGCCAGAGGCTAAAGTTGCCTTTAGCTCAAAATAATCAATTACCACAAAGGCACATCTTGAGGTGACTTGTTCTGAACCCCTACACTGACAAATGAGACAAACCCCCAACTGTTTCAGGGACATATGCATAAAGAATTTAAAGTTGTTTTATTATTTAGCCACTCATACACTGAGTAGCTACTATGAAGAGAAGCATTACCCAAGATAGAAAGATACATAAATTCACAGATCTAATGCTGAAGAAGTTCTCATCCTGGAAACAACTGTATAAGTCAGTATTCTTATAAAACAGCCCAAAACATCTGGTTCTAGAACTGAGAACTGATTTCTACATTCCACGTACAAAGATTCGTTTTTCCCCAAACCGAACTCCTATTAGAAACCAGGATATTATTTTGGGCAACACCATTTTCTCCTCACATTTACAGACTAGCTCCCACAAAGGTACTTAGGCACTTTAACGCGTCCGTTTAAAAGGGACAAAGCCTATGGTCTATGTAGTGATTTATCTGGCAGGGCATTTTTTGTTTTTTAAACAGACTCTGGCAGGATTTTCCCAGAGATCAGGAGTCAACCTAAGGCTTACAAAATAAACCAACATCGAGAAAGGCCCTTTGGTAATTACAGGTTAAGTGTTGAGCTAACGAATAAATTTGTGGTCGGGTCACTATCCTGGGCCACTCCGGATAACATTATTCGTCCTCAGAGCAGTAAGGCGAGTGAAAGACTGCACCCCGTGCGCTAATCTTGACCTATGAAATCAGTCCTGCATGAAACGACCAGCAAAACAGCTCCCTGAGTTCGTGGGGTCACTACAAGGCGAGGCCAAACGCCGGCTTCGGTGACTCTTTGCAGTCAGGGACTCAGCGGAGAAGCCACAACAGCCCTCACTCCTCGCTGTCCGCCCCAAGGGGCCGGGAAGCGGGGCCCTACGTCTCGGCGATGATCCAGCAACCCCAAACCGCGATTACTGTCACCGACGCAAGGTCTCGCCGGGCCCACTCTGCACAGCCTCCCCGACCCTCGCTGAGACTTTCTTCCCTTTTGGGGCACCCGCCCGCCCCCTGGCCGCCCCAATAGTAGAGAACTCACGGCCGCCGCGGCGCCGGTGAAAATATCCTCCCCCTCAGTGTCGCTGTCCCCAGCCTCGGGTTCTGAACCCCCGGCCGCCCCCTCGGACTCCGGCTCCAGGCCAGGGAAAGGCGGAGGGAGTCTCTCCGAAGCGCTACAGCCACCACCACCCGACGCCATCTTCCTACACCCGCGGCGGAAGCCGCAACAACAACTTTATAGAGAGAAAACGCCGCGAGCAAATCGTTCCAGCGGAACCAGGAGTGGGATGACCAGGACCAACCCTGCGGCTCGCGCCGGGGCGGGACTTAGGCCTCGGGGCGGGGGCGGGGCTGGATCCAGGCCTCAGTTCAGCAAATCTGAGGCCTTGATCCCGATTCCGAGATCTTAATCTTGAGGTCAAAGGGGCAGAAAAGGAGGAGCCAGGGCTTGCTCAGGTTGCCAGGGTACTTTGTACTCTGCCTAGTGCCTAACAGGCTCCTTAAGATGTCAGTTGAGTAAAGGAGTCTGAAAACTTCTGCATACCACCTACCCATGCCAAGCACAGTGCCCTTACAGAGTTTCAATAAATATTTTTAATTGAGGTCTCTGAACAGATTGCAGTAAAGTCTCGCCGTTGCTTCTTTGAACATTAGTTAATTCACTCAAGAAATATATGTTGAGCATCTACTACTGTGTGCCTGGCGCCCTGTTATTCATCCGAAATATAAAGAAGCTCCTGGCCCTCTAGGCGCTTGAGGGAGAGGCATGTAAATTAACATGTTCAGTGCTATAATTTGCTGCGCCAGCACAGTAAAAGATTATCAATTCTATTTGTTAAAGTCAGGAGGCCTCACACAGGAAGTGAAACCTCAGTACCCTAAATTTGGTTGCAAGGATCACCTCAATCGCTGTGGAGTAAGTGAAGTGGAACAGAAGGCGGGGAGATTATTACACTCTGAAGAAAATTTTCCTGGGACCTAAACTATTCACAGGTTGTCTGGTGAGCCTAAAGTTTAAATCAGATAGATAAAATAAATGGGATACTTTATCAGGAGATAATTCTGAAAGATAATCCTGACTTTCTTTTCAGTAGAGGTTAGAAAAAACTTGGCATCGCCTTTGACAAAGGTTTAGTTTGTTTCTAACTGCAAATTCCTCAACAACAGGGGTTGGCTCCCTCACAGATGTTAGCTGCTTGAAGGCAGGAACCCTGTCCTATCCTTGGTGCCTATAGATCAAGTCCGGCAAATTAAATACCCTGTAAATGTTTGCGATTTGATTGGAGGGATGAATGAACAAAATTAATATCGTCAATCATGTTACCGGGATTCATGACAGCCATGAAACACCAGGGGACTTACGGCATTCTTTTTAGGATGATGATCTCCAATGTCACTATTGGATGCAGTGGATACAGGGAAAGCTCTCCTTCTAAATTGTCTTTGAAGGCGATTGGCAGAAATACTCAGCCTGTAGTGGGGAATTGTGCTGGCCTAAACCCCTACGAGACAAGAAAACCAAAAAGCCCTCCCTTCCCCCAGCCACGCCTAATCATCCTTTCCTGGTCTCCCAAGACTTCCCATTTTACGGCAACGAAAACTCACTTCCGGCCTAACTAAGGAAGTAAAAACTTTAGGTGGAAGCTTCTCTCTCGGAGAAATAACAGGAGTCCTCGTGCACAAGCTCCTCTAGGATGAGAAATCAAGGTCTGCTTTTCCCTACCTCTTCAGGATTCATCTTTAGTTTATAGAGGGCGCTGAGTGAGGCAATCGGTGGTGAATAATAGACCGTTACATTCCACCCACCTCCCTTCGCCAGCGAAGACTACAAGTCCCAGAACACAGTTGTCTTCCGAAGAAAACGTCCCATACGACCCACTAGGCAACGCGCCTCACGTGCAGCGAGCAATTTTTTTTTTTTTTTTACACCAGTCCCGACGAAACCGAGCAAAGCATGCTGGGGTTTGTGGTCCTTGCGGCGCCCTTCCCTGGGTTCTCCGCGCTACTGCGTCCAGATCCGCCTATTCTCTGCTCCCCCGAACTTTTAGCCTTATCTTGGCCCCTTTGTAGACCAGGAAGTTGATAAATCGCGGGGCCAGCTACTGTAAGACGGTGGCTCGGGTGGGACAGTCGCCAGGGATGGCGGAGCGCGAGGATGGAGCGGGTGTCTGGGCTCCTCTCCTGGACGTTGAGCAGAGTCCTGTGGCTCTCCGGCCTCTTTGAGCGGGGAACTGCCCGGCAGCCCCGGATCATGGAAGAGAAAGCGCTAGAGGTTTATGGTAATTAATTTTACTTAGGGTAGTATTTGGCGTTATACGTGGAGGCCGTGGGTAACGAAGTTCTCACTCGAGAGCTGGGAGTGGCAACTCTGGTTTTTGCTGGATCTCGTCGGGAGCGTGGGAAGCGTTTTCTTTGGGGTCTTAAGTCACGCGGCACTGTGAGACTCGGTAGGACCGGGGTTTTTCCTAAAACTGGGCTGAGTCAAGTCTGGAAGTTTTAAACGCTTCGTTTTCCTTGTCTGCCCCACGTCCTAGTGGCGGAGCTGGCGCCTAAGGTGCTTGGTTAGGTTAGGAAGCAAAGCTGGCCTGGTTGCACTACTTGAGCCTCTTTTTTTTTTTTCTATCCCTGGACACGCGCTCCTCCTGTCACTGTTGAGGGCACTGCTGTAGTGACTGTCGAGTCGGTGACTGGCCCAAGGTCACAGCCACTTTCTTCTGCTGCAAAAGCAATAGGCAGGGTCCCTAAGAGAAGAGGATGAGATAGCCTCCTCGTAGCCGGCCCCTGAACTTACAGTTCCTTAACACAGCCAACCCTGGAGTGCAAAAAAAACAAAAACAGACAGACAGACATACACACACGCGCGCATCACCACCACAATGCTCTTTTTAACCCCTGGGACCATCTTCATTGTACAGATGAGGAAACAAAAGTTTAGAATGGTTACACAACTAGCTGGATGTCACAGTAAGGAAAAAACTAAAATCCATGTCTCCTGATTCCAAACTTAGAGCATTTTCTGCCTCTTCACAGTTACCTTATGACTCTCCTTTTAGGATTGCTTTTTAGATTTTATTTTTTAGAGAGAAGGGAAGGGAGGGAAAAAGAGAGGAACAGAGACATCAGTGTGTGAGAGAAACGTTGATTGTTTGCCTCTCAAACACCCTCAATGAGGGGCCTGGCTTCCTACCCAGGCAGGTTCCCTGATGGGGAATGGAACCCCAGACCTTTGAGTTTTCAGGCTGGTCCTCAGCCCACTGAGTCACACCAGAGAATACTGTTTTTGCAAACTGAAAAGGAGGATCTAACTAACGTTCAGAGGTTTCTGCTGACTGAGAAAGACATAACCTTAAGAATACAAATGTAACACAGGTAAGGATTATAGGCCAGGAGAAGGAAGCCAGGGATGGGAAAGACCTTTGGAGCTGATCTAGTTTACCTCTAGTGCTAGAGTCCTCTCCAAGTTCCTTGAGCATCATTATAACCAGTGTTTTGAACTCTGCATCTGGTAGCTTGCTTTTCTCCATTTTGCTTAGTTCTTTTTCTGGGGTTTTGATCTATTCTTCCATTTGGACCATGTTTCTTGTCCTCTCATTTTGACGTCCTCCCTGTATTTGTTTCTCTGTATTAGGTAGAACTCCTACGTCTCCAGGTTTGGTAGAGCAGCCTAATATAGTAGGTGTTCTGTAGGGTCCAGTGGCACAGCCTCCTCTTTTACCTAAGTTGGGTAATCAAAGTGCACTCACCATGTGGGCTGTGTACACTCTCGTGGTAGTTGAGTCTTGATTGCTGTTGGTGCATCCAAGGTCAGCCGCTGCCTGTGTTCTCTCCAGGGTCACACAGCACAAGCTACAAAGCATTTTGCAGATGGCTGCTACATGTGCTGGGCTTGGAGGTGCCCAAGCAGGCCAAGGACTAGTGCTGCTGCTACTGGGCCTGGGGCAACTTAGCGAGAGGTATAGGGCTCACTGAAGACATGCTGCTTGCTGAGAGAAGTTAGGGAAATCTCAAGCATGGGCCAAAACAAGCCATTCATGTGGAAATGCCAATGACAACAACTTGGGTGGGGCAGGCAGTATCACCACTGTGGGGAAAACAGAGTGAGCCAGGCTGATGGAATCTCAGATATGGCCCTGCAGGCTCTGTGGCTCTCAGGGGGAGGACTCAGAAAAGGGACAATGGCTTCTGCCAGCACTTCTGTCTGGGAGAAAGCTGCCCCCTGCCCCCGCAGCTCTCGTCCTAATACTGGACACTTCAGTTCCTCCCAGTATGTCTCTGATGCCTTTCAGTTTGCTGCCCCCCACGCTGGAGCTCAGATGGAGTGAGTCTGAGTAAGTCTGTGCATGGGCCTTTTAAGAAGAACTGCCTGAGACTCCAGCAGTTTCTGTCTTCGAGAGCCTCAATCCTCACTGGTTTTCACAGCAAGGAGTTATGGAGACTTATCTTCCTGGTCCTGGAACCCTGGGCTGGGGGCCCTGGAATGGGGCTGGGACCCTTTACTCCTGAGATATCTCTCCCAATTTTTATCTGCCACACATGGGTGTGGGGACAGCCTGTTCTGCGGCTCCACCCCCTACCAGTCTTAATGTGGTTACTTCTTTGATTCTGTAGTGGTAGGACTTCCATTCAGCTCTATTTTTGATGTTTCTGAATTACGGTGGTTCTATAGTTTAGTTGTAATTTTGATGTGGTTGTGTGAGGAGGCGAATGGTGTTTACCTACATTGCCATCTTAACCAGAAGTCCCACTTTTTGTTTTCTAAAGGTTTCCTGGTGATTTTGTTGTTCAGCAAAGGTTGAAAACTGTTCTCCTCAGTCTTGTGGGTCTCATAGGTTCAACAACTACTCTAGCCTTGGTGCTCTCTTAACCTTATGTTGAGGTTCATTGTTTGCTGGAATCTACCATTGGTTTGTTCCTTCAGCAAAATCATTATGTATACAGTTAAAGTCATTTGCCATAGTCTCCACTCAGATTCGTTCCTGTGTTCTGTTATTTTAATGCTATCAGTGTCCTCCCAGACACTTACATTTAAAATCTGAGTCATGTTCTTTTTTTCCCTTTCCTTCTCTTTTAAGTAGTTGTCAAATTCTGTTGATTGTGCCTAAGAAATTACTTCTTCCTCTGTCTCTCTCTGTTACCATTATTAGGTGCCTGTTTTAGGCGCAGCTTTTGCAGCTGGTCTCCCTGGCTCTGCTCTTTAGTTCTGTGTCTGTCGGCTGGTGGGTGAGTTACTAGTTGACAGTGTAACGGTGGCCATGTCACTCCTTTGTTCAAAACCTCTTGAGGACATCCTGTGCCTTGGTGGCTTGGCCCAAACTCTTACATCGCCTTCATTTACGCTGGGTTCCAGGCAAACTAAATTTCTGGTTCTTTACTTTCTTTCACCTTAAGTGTTAAATATTAAAATGTGACCCCTTCTTAAAGGCCTGATTCAGATTTCACTTTCATGAGTCCCGATATTACATTCCCCTAAACTAAAAGTTGGTTCTTCCTCATGAGCTTCTAGCTCTTACACCCTCTCTGCAATGTTGAATCCAAGACACTGGATATCATCTAATAATAATCCAAGAAAACAGTTTTCTCAAAAGGAAACTGGTAGTGGAAATTCTTGTGAGAAATCTGGTGAGTTTCTCTAGTCTTTGCTTAAATACAAAGAAGAACGTGCATTTGGATTAGGACTGGCAAAATCATCGTATTTAGAATATTCGTGTTTTTACTGTGCCTGTTTTGATTCTTCAGATTTGATTCGAACTATCCGGGACCCAGAGAAGCCCAATACTCTGGAGGAACTGGAGGTGGTAACGGAAAGTTGTGTGGAGGTTCAGGAGATAAACGAAGAGGACTATTTGGTTATTATCAGGTTCACACCAACAGTACCTCATTGCTCTTTGGCGACTCTTATTGGTAAGGTTTTATGTACAATTATATGTTTAATTCTAAGTTATTCTAGCTGATACTGACCCAAAATAGCAATTGGCATCATGTATCACAACTTTGTGGTTTACAGAGTATTTTCATGTACACTTGGCTCATATCTGTAGGTTCTGCAATGGCGGGTCCATCTAACCAGGGATCAAAAACATTTGGGAAAGAAAAGGTGACATTTTTCTGAGATGTACTGCATAGCTAGGCCTAAGATGGTTGCATCAGTACTCAATATGTAGACATTTTTTCTTGTCATTTTCCCCTAAACAATACAATAGAACAACTATTTACATAGCATTTATGTTGTATCAGGTATTATAAGTAGTCTAGAGATGATTTAAAGTAAACAGGAGGGTGTGCATAGGTTATATGCAAACACCAGGGCATTTGATATAAGGGATATGAACATCTGTGGATTTTGGTGTGCTGGAGGGGCCCTGGAGCCAGCCACCTGTGGACGCTGAGGGACGACTGTGTCCATCTTCTGTAGTCCTCACAGTTAGCCTACGAGAGAGTTAATGTTGTGTTATCTTCATTTTATAGTTGAAGCGTCAGAGGTTCAGAGAGTTTAACCTCAGGATCATATAGCCAAGAAGTGGTGCAGCTGAGACAAACCCAGACCACCTGACTCCAAATGTGTTTCTTCTCTTAGGTGTGCATGCGTACAGCTAGTGGAGAGTGGGTGTGTGCCATCTCTTAGTTTTGGAGCTTGAAATGGACACTGTCAGACTAGCACTACTGCCATCACTGTCTTCTCCTTTTAAGGAGATGCATCTGTGTAGTTTGGGCAGACATCCTGGTGAGAGGGCATTTTTTGAAGTGGTTTTCTGTTGGAGAGGCTGCATTTCCAATATCTTAGATTAGTTAGCAGTAAGATATGCAATAGATGTGTATAGGTGTCTATCTATTATTATATGCTGTAAAGAAGATAAAGGAATTTTATTTCAAACCAAATCTGGTCATCAGTAGCAGATTGAGTAAATAATCGGTGATAGTGTATTTGTTAACATTGGAATATTATGCAGCAATAAAAAAGAGTAGATGTGCTCTCCATGTGCTTACATGGGAACATCTCTTTAATACTGTTAGGAGGTAAAAGCAGTTATAATGTTGTTACACTGTGTAAAAGAGGCAGAAATGTGCATTTGTATTTGATCACATGTGCATAAAGAATGCCTAAGAAAATGAGTAGCTGTGTTTGGGGATGGGTAGCAGTGGCAGTGGGAACTGGTCAGATGGAGGACAGGACGGGAGGGAGGCTTGAACGTGTATCTTTTTATACAAGATGGGGCAAAAGTAGGTTTACAGTGGTGAGTACTTGAAACACAGACTTTATTCTTGCATTATTGTTTATTAATTATTGTATTATTTTCTGTATGAACAACTGTAAACCTACTTTTGCCCCTCTCTGTATTTTTAAGTTTTCGAACCATGGGAATATATTGCCTACTTAAAAAAAGACAAGTTTATAAAATGGGTTGAACAAGTAAATATTTTATTATTGTTCCCACTATTGTGATTTGTATGTTTCTCTTCTCTCTTGTCCTGGGAGTCCTCTATTACTGGCTTCCAGCCTATGGGCTATATCTTATCTTGAAGAACCATTAAAACATAGATACTACTATGGTTATTAAAATTCCAATAGTAGAAAAAGCATTGTTGAACTCATACTTATTTTTTGTCATTGGACAAATTCTGAATCAACAGATATTGAAAGTACTCCTGCTATCCTGATACGAAGGAGGTGTCTTAAATTATTTTGAGCCCTGGTTGGTGTGGCTCAGTGGATTGAGTGCCAGCCTGCGAACTGAAAGGTGACAGGTTCGATTCCCAGTCAGGGCACAGGCCTGGGTTGTGGGCCAGGTCCCTAGTTGGGGCATGCAAGAGGCAACCAATCGATGTATCTCACACATCAATGTTTCTCTCCCTCTCTTTCTTCCTCCCTTCCCCCTCTCTAAAAGTAAATAAAGTCTTTTAAAATTTTAAATATTTTGATTTATAAGAACGCTTAAATAGATGGTTCATTATTCTAAGAACCTATTGCAAATAAATTTTTCCAACATAACATTTATTTTGTGTTTTTTTCAATTTTAAAAGTAACATGTTTGGCAATAATTTTGAGACTACAAAAGCATAAAGAGAAAATGAAAATCAGTTGTCATAAAAGACTGAGTGCTCTAGGCTAAAATTTCAGGTCCATCAGGCCTGCCATTTTGTGGCTTTAAGCAAGTTACTTAATCTTTTTCTTTCTCTTTTTTTAGAGATTTTACTTATTTTTAGAGAGGAGAAAGGACGAAGAAAGAGAGGGAGAGAAACACCAGTGGGAACCTGGTCTACAACCCAGATGTGGGCCCTGACCAGGAATCGAACCAGCAACCCTTTGGTTCCCAGACTGGCCCTCAATCCACTGGGCCATACCAGCCAGGGCAAAGATTTTATTTATTTTCAGAGAGAGGGGAAGGGAGGGAGAGAGGAAGGGAGAGAAACATCAGTTGGTTACCTTTCGCATTCCCCTCAACCAGGAAACTGGTCTGCAACCCAAACATGTGTCCTGACTGGGAATCAAACTGGTGACCAGCGCTCAATCCACTGAGCGACTCCAGTCAGGGCTCTCAGGCTATATCTGTATTAAAGTTGCTACCATGGTGTGAGGCCCAAAGGAGACCTATAATGGATTGAGCCAAAGCTGTTTTCAGTTCCTATATTATATGGAGATGCCTGGACACAGCTGTATGCTGTTCAAGAACCAATAAAAAGGGATAATTGGGGCTTCTTTTTCCTTCACAGGACTGTGCTTAAGAGTAAAACTTCAGCGGTGTTTACCATTTAAACATAAGGTAAGGAAAATGTTTTTTGTTGTTTTAGAACAGTTTTGTTGAGATTTAATAGAAATTATATAATTCTCTTATTCAAAGTGTACAATTTAATAGTTTTTAGTATATTCACTGCATTGTGCAAAATCACTATTATTTTGTTTTAAATTATGTTTTATTGATCATACTGTTACAGTTCTGATTTTTCTCCCTTTCCCCCCCTCTACCCAGCACACCCCACGCCCTCGGCAATCCCCACATCATTTTTCATGTCCATGAGTCATCATGTAGGTTCTTTGGCTGCTATATTTCCTATACTGTACTCTACATCCCCATGGCTATTCTGGAACTACCTGTTTGTACTTCTTAATCCCCTCACCTCCTCACCCATTCTCTCATACCCCCTTCCCATCTGGCAACCATCAAATGCTCTCTGTATCCACGATTCTGTCTCTGTTCTTGTTTGCTTAGTTTGTTTTTTAGAGTCACTTGTTGATAGATACATATTTATTGTCATTTTATTGTTGATAGTTTTTATCTTCTTTCGCTTAAATAAATCCTTTTATCATTTCACATAATTGTTGAGTGATGATGAACTCCTTTAGTTTTTTCTTATCTGGAAGCTCTTTATCTGCCTTTGACTCTAAATGATATCTTTGCTGGGTGAAGCAGCCTTGGCTGTAGGTCCCTCCTTTTCCTGACTTTGAATATTTCTTGCCCATCCCTCCTAGCCTGCAAAATGTCTTTCCAGAAATCAGCTGACAGCCTTATGGAGCTCCCATGTTGGTAACTAACTGCTTTCTCTTGGTGCTTTTATCTTTAACTGTTGGCGTTTTAATTACGATGTGTCTCTGTTACCAAAAAGCAAGTAGAGTCCTGCTGCCCGCCACCACCCTCTGGGCAAAATTCTGGAGAAAAAGGTTTGGTGTGAAGGAAAGGAATCTTTATTCAAAAGCAACACGATTTCGGAATAATAGCTTTCCACATACATTAGTCACATACAGCTTTAATCACTTAAGCCTATCAATTAAGGCTAAACTCTTTAACTCTTTAATTAACAGCTTTAATTACTCTGTTCTCCTATCATTCCCCTGTTAGTTTGTAATTATCACCTATACGATTAGTTTACAAACAAAGCAACATAAGATACAAAAGCTACACAATTTTGGAAGATTGGCAGGTTTCTGTCTCAGAGCCCATCCCCTCTAGAACAGCAGAGAAGAATAACCCTGCCGCCCTCTGCCAGGCCAGCCTGATCCTAGGCTGTGCCTGGAGTTTCTTCTCCCATCCAAAATCCATCCAAAATACCATCCTTTGGGAAACGCAGGCAGCTGCAGCATGATCATCCAGGCATCTTTGAAGAAGAGCCCAAGAACCCATCTCTGCTCTGTTTTTATTTTAAATTTTCAGCCCCTAATTCCATTCCCTCTGGAGACATTCAGCTTCTGGGCCATACCAGCCGAATCCCACCCTAGACTGTTTACCATCGCCTTGGGCAACCTGCTCCCATGGCCCCTCCCCACCCCTCCTCAGTGATCTAATCAGATCTCTGTTTCATCTTGGCAGGCATCCACCTTGTTTGGGACTCTGTGCTCCCTGAACAGGCATGTCTATTTCCTTCACTAAATTAGGAAAGTTTTCTTTCATTATTATTTCAAATATAAATTTCCAGTTTCTTGCTCTTTCTCTTCTCCTTTTGCACCACTATCTTGTGAATTTTGAATGCTTGAAGTTGTCCCAGAGGTTGCTTACACTGTCCTCATTTTTTTGGATTCTTTCTTCTTCTTGTTCTGTTTTGTTGTGTTTTGCTTACTTATGTTCCAAATCATTGATTTGATTATTGGCTTCACCCACTCTAATGTTGTTTCCCTGTAAATTGTTCTTTATTTCAATGAGTGTAGCCTCTGATGGAGTGTAGACTGGATCTTTTTTATGCTGCTGGGGTCCTCACTAAGTTCTTTCAGCATCCTTGTAACTAACTCTGCATCTGACAGATTGCTTATCTCCATTTTGTTTAGTTCTTTTTCTGGAGTTTTTATCTGTTCTTTCATTTGAGCCATGTTTCTTTATTTCCTCATTTTGGCTGCCTCCCTGTGTTTGTTTCTGTGTATTAGGTAGAGCTGCTATGACTCCCTGTCTTGATAATGTGGCCTAATGTAGTAGGTGTCCTGTAGAGTCCAGTGGCACAGCTTCCCCTATCACTGGGTGTACTGGAGGTGCACCCTTTGTGTCGGCTGAGCACACCCTTCTATTGTAGTCAAGCCTCAGTTGCTGTTGGCAGGTTAATGGGAGGGATTTACCCAGGCCAGTCAGCAGCAAGGGTTGGCTGTGACCACTGACCATCATACTTTGTCCTTTGTAGAGGATCAGCTGTGTAGGGGCAGGGTCTTGGTTCTCCAATGTGATCTGTAGCTGTGCACTGGGTGCACAGGCTCTGGGGTTTCCTGGGTGGTGCAGGCCAAGGTTAGCTCCCATCTGTGTTTTGCCCAGGCCACTCTGCCTGAACTATAAAGCAATCTGAGATGGCTGCTACTTGTGCTGAGCTTGGAGATTCCCAAGTGAAACCAAGCTGTGAATCCTGGCTGGCTGCTGCTAATGACAGGCCTGGGGCCACTTAGCAAGAGGTACGGGGCCTCTTGGGGCTCAGTGAGGCCAGCCGTTGCTTATTTGAGAGGACTTAGGAAGTTGTGAAGCATGAACCAAGACCTGCCATTCATAAGGATAAGTCATGGTTAACAGTTTGGGTGGACTCGTAAGTTGGGTAGTTGTAGTCTCAGGGAATCTCCGAGGCAGAGCAAACAGTTTTAGCCAAATCGATGGAGTCTCAGATATGGCACTACCCTGCTGTTTCTGTGGCTCTGTGGGGGAGGGCTCAGAAAAGGGAGAATGGCTGCTTCCTGCCTTTCTGTCTGGGAGAAAATTGTCCTGCAGTTCTTGCCTTGATACCAGACACTTCAGTTCCTCCCTGTGTGCCACTGGTGCCTTCTAGGCTGCCACCCTGGTGCTGGAGCTCAGAGGGAGTGAGTCTGAGTAAGTCTGTGTGTGGGCTCTATCAGGGGAATTGCCTGGGACTCCACAGTTTCTTTCACTGACTCAATCCCCACTGGTTTTTGCAGCCAGAAGTTGTGGGGACTTACCTTCTTGGCACTGGAACCCTGGGCTGGGGGTCCTGGTGTGGGGCTGGGACTCCTCGCTCCCAAGATCTCAGTCTCAAGTAGTTATCCACCACATGTGGATATGAGACCATCCCATTCTGTGTCTCTACCCCTCCTACCAGCCTGGATAGGTGTGGTTTCTTTCATTTCATAGGTGTCAGACGTCCATTCAACTTGATTTCTGATAGTTCTGAGTAATGGTTGCTCTATAATTTAATTTTGCTATGGTTGCGTGTGGATGTGAGCCATTTTTACCCATGCCACCATCTTGACTGGACGTCTAGCTTTAATTCTACCTTAATGACTTCTGCCCGTGGGCCCAGTCTGGCACACCCCCTCACTGCTGCCGCCGCTACTGCCTGATGCTGGAGTTTGGGCCCTGGCAGGGCCGTAGCTCCCACTACTATTGATTTTGGAACATTTTCATCATCCCAAAAAGAAATCCCATTATCAAACAGTCACTCCCCACTTCTCCAAACCCTCCTCCATCCCTGGGCAAACACTAATCTACTTTTCGTCTCTGGATTTGCCTAGTCTGGACATTTTGTTTTAATGGCTTAAGACCAGCTTCTTTCTCATAGAATAATATTTTCACAATTTATCCATGTTGTAATATGTATCAGTATTTCTTTCCTATTTATGGCCTTATGCTGTTCCGTTGTGTGGATATACCGTATTTTATTTATCCGTTTGTCAGTTGATGGTCATTTGAGTAGTTTCCACCTGTGTGTAACCTTGTGCGGAACTGCCAGGCTGTTTCCCACAGCTGTTCCCCCGTTTTGCATTTCCTGGCATTGAGTGAGAGTTCTGATTTCCCACATCCTCACCAGCGCTTCTCTTTTTCATTACAGCCGTCCTACTGCATTAAAGTGATATCTCACTGAGGTGTTGATTTGCATATATCTCTAATGGCTAATAATGTTGAGCATTTTTTCGTGTGCAAAAAATTTAAAACCAAATACGATCCACTTACAAAGGGCTACAAGAAACTTCTCAAGTGTAGAATCTTTTATGCTTGCAAGGTACCAAACCAACCGCTTGGTTACCCTGAAGTATAGTCCATATAGAAATAGCAGGGTAAATGCTTGACTCTTCTTTACATACCATTTTTCAGAATAATGAGTCATGCATAATTGTAAACCAAAGGAAATGAGTATGGAGATTTCATATCTATTACTCTGTTATTTTCGTTGTCTAGAGTAAGAGTTAGCATTATGCAGCTATAGGAATTTATATGATGTTTTGTCTTTCAAAAGACTGGGCTAGGGTGTGCCACCTCTGACAGCTGGACCTGGCCTGCTGCCTGGACTGGTGCTCAGGCCCAGGGCCAGCTGGAGGTGTGGGGACCCCAGAGCCACCTCCTGTCACCCCGTTTCCCAGCGGGGTGTGTCACCAGGCATGTCACCAGGGCATGTCACCAGGGAGCTGGATACCCATGGCTGGCTTGCAGGTGGGACCCCTGTGGGCTCCGTTTGGCACAACTACTTTTTGACCTGGCATGCCACCCACCGTGATGGACCCATTCCTGAAAATGCCTGCTTGTACCCTAGCCCTAACCCCTAGCTACAGGGGTGCAAGAGGAGGAGCATGCAGATAAAGTTCTACCTCAGGGAATTCGGGACCTTGTCCCAGAGTCTCAGGTATATATGGGTCTCTTGGCTTTTGAGTAGGAGCTGGACCAGACCATTGCTCACAAGCAGATGGTGATCCAGGAAGTCATCAAAAAGCCTCTAACACAAAAAATGAAAGGTATGGATCTATATTTGCAATAAGTTCAGTCCCAGCAAGGCAGAAGGGCACCATGTAGAAACCGCAGGGACACCTGGGAGAACCTCAGCAAAGAACAAGGTGGCTTCCTGGACATTCCAAGTGGAGGGAAACTCCTGGATGATCTTAGCAAACAGAAGAGGAAGTTCTTGTCATTCTTAAAGAGACTTGTCTTTGAGCTAGACAAGGAACCATTAGCTTAGTGAGCCTGACAGCCACCTGGTGGAGTGGTGTCAGATGCCCACCACCCAGGAGATGGATGGCTTCCAGGTGAAATGGCCTGGAGACCTCAACATCAAGTGCACCCTCCTGCTCATGCTGAATCATCAGCCTCCCCAGTACAAGTTGGACCCCGGATTGGTGGGGCTGCTGGGAGTGCACACACAGATAGGGCTGCCATCATGCAGGCCCTGTGGCTTTACACCACATAAAGCCGGCTGAGGGACAGGCTTGCGCACGAGTGCATCAGCTGCACTTACTTCCGCCAGGTCTTCAGTTGTGGTCAACTCCATTTCTCTGAGATTTGCATGAAGCTGGCTGGGTTGCTGCTGCATCCAGACCCCATTGTCATCAACCATGTTATTAGTGTGGGTCCTGACAACCAGATGAAGACTGCCTGTTATGACATTAATGTGGAGGTGGATGACCTACTCAAGGCCCAGATGAGCGATTTTCTGGCCTTTACCACTAATCAGTAGGAGGTTGCTTCCGTTGATGTCAAGATCCACAAAACCTTTGAGTTCATCTACCAGCTGAAGACCCAAAGGGGTTTCATTCTCCGCTTTAGCGCCACCCCCCAGGACTTCATCCAGGAATGGCTTCGTCTCCAGCTCTGAGACCTCAATATCATCACTGATGTGATTGAGAATCCCGAGGAGGAGAGATGAGCTGTTTTCTACCACCAGCCCTGGGCCCAGGAAGCAGTGGGAAGGCCTATATTTGCCAAAGTGCAGCAGCAAAGGCAGGAACAGGGACAGATGCTGCAAATTCATCTGAGTCCGACTGCTCAGGGATCCCTCCCTTTCCTCCCAGCCCTGGAACCATCCCGTCCTCAGCCTGGAAGGGACCACCATCTGAGTCTGCAGACACATAGGATCAGGAAGGGGGTGTGGGGTGTTTCCTGTCATCCTCTGCTTCTCTGTTTCTCAGCTTTAGTTTTATAAATGTACTGAAAGAATTCCTTGTTTCTTGATCCCCAAAGCCTTATTACTTTATGTGTTGGCTTTAATTGGGTTCACAGCTGATGCCTCTGCCCCCTACAGGCAGGCCCAAGTAGAACTCCTGGAGGCCTTGCTTTGACAATGTAATGGACATGTTTCACAGGAAAGGCCACTGGCTTTACTTGTTAACAGATGCCCCCTTGGGACAAGCAAATGCTCTAGCTGGCTCTGGGGAGCTGGGCAAGGAAAAGGGGCACAGCTCACACTGTTCCTAGCCTTTCTATTTTTTTTTTAAGGTTGTTTTTTTTTTTCCCAGGGAAAGGGGAAGGGAGAGAGTCAGAGAGGGAAAGAAACATTGTTGTGTGAGAGATTGGTTGCCTCTCACACGCCCCCAACTAGGAACCTGGCCCACAACCCAGGCATGTGCCCTGACTGGGAATCGAACCAGCAACCTTTCATTTCTCAGGCCGGCGCTTAATCCACTGAGCCACACAACAGCCAGGATTTTTCCTAGCCTTTCTAAACCAACGTTCTTCGCCATGTCTAGTAGCCCAGCCTTGCTGCTGGCTTTTTCCTTTCTTTGAGGTATTTACACTATTTGGGGAGCAGGCTATTCTATGCAGGAGCCACGTTTTTGTACAGGGGATAAGTTGGGGGTTTTCAAGGAGCCCTATTTGGTGCCCCCTCCTTTATTTTCTTTCCTCAATCTATGTAAGCGGCTCTCCTGGGATGCCAGAGGGCTGCCACCCCAGTGCTTGGGCCTAGGGCTCTAAAGCCTAGAGGAAGGGGATGCTCAAATTCCCTGGCATGGCTCGAGTTATGGGTGGGGCAGGGGGAGGTGGGGAGAACTCATTGCCATTGGAGCTTGGTAAGGAGGGTGGGGCTAGGGCTTGGAAACTGCCACTTTAGGCGGGTTTGGAAATTTCCACATAAATCCTTGTTTATTGGTGGTATACCCCTCAAAAAAAAAAAAAGAGAGAGAGAAAAGACTAGACTAGATAATCTCTAAGGTCTCCCTTAGCCATGATAGATATGCTATGATTTTTTTCACTCATGAAAAACATTTATCTCAGTAGTAAATAAGTATATAAGAATTAGTTCATATGCTCCATTGTTGTCTGAAAAGAAAACATCTTTACCATATATAGCATGACTTATTTAACACAAGATTGGTGGTGATTTTGTGGGTTTCACTCAAAGCTTGGGTTCGGAGAGGGTAGCTTATCTGAGGGAGTGAGTATGGCAGGACCAGGACGGATAGCTTAACCAGTGTTGTACTTGAGGGTAAATTTGTTGGGATAAAAGTGGATGAGAAAAGGAGGATACTGAAAACTGTATACCATGATCCCGTTTTTGTAAAGTAAGAAATAAAGGAATGTCCATCCATGGGTGTGTGTGTGTGTGTGTGTGTGTGTGTGTGTGTGTGAAAAGTATGTTTGATTATGGGGGTGTAGAGAAAAGTATAGAAGCAGCCACCCTTAGATTATTAATGTAGCTTTCCTGGGGAGGGAGGCACGAAGCAAGTTTAGCTACTTGATTTGGGAAGGAGAGTTAGAGTGCAAGAGAGTGCAAATGGAACATATATGAGATCTTATTTGTATAGAATTATATTAGTTTGTATAAAAAGAATGGAATGCCCCTGCAGATCTTTCCCAGACGACCAAATCTTAAGATCCTACTCATTTCAGCCCTTATTTTAGAGGAGTCAGAGGGGCTTGTTCCTAAGTCTTTGATGGAAGAAGCAGGATTTGGACTTTTATCCCTGGATTCTCGAATCCACTGTACATTCTACTTCACTTCTTATCTTGGAATGCTCTAAATGTTTTCCTTTTAATATTTTTTCTTCCTAGCTGGAAATCTACATTTCTGAAGGAACCCACTCAACAGAGGAAGACAGTAAGTGAATCCCGAATCATTATTAAAAACAACTTCAGGTAGTACTTCATCTGGGACACCAGGCTATTCCTCCAGCCAAGTATCTGTTGGGCCTTTTGCAGAAAAAGTTCACAGTCAGTTATGAGTTCTTCCTGGAGGTGTGGAAACACAGGCATTTAATGGGAGTAATTTTCTCCGTAGGACCCTGGGGGAGTCTGAGTTAGGCTCTGTGGGCATCGATTGGTTTAGGCCCGTGGACACATGTCTATAAAGAGCGTCCAGCACTAGGAACCTTGACTTAAAAGCTCTGAAGACACTTGATTCTTTTCTTTGGTGGCAGGATAGAGAGCTGTGTACTTGAAATTGAAGGTCTAGCGAGTAAAGCTTTAGGGAATCTTGGGGTAGGTGTTGTCTTTCTGGGTTAATGTATTAAAATGGGAGTGGGGAACCTTTTTTATAGAGAGGACCTCAGGGCTACAGAGAGAAGTCAATTGGTAGCTTCTTAAAAATAGCAGAGGTGGGGTTTGGGAAAAGCAAAAGACAGAATGTTCTACATAACCTATGTGTTACATTAAAAACAGGACAGAATTTTACCTACAAGTGATAGAGGGCAAATAGTGAGAAATTTATGTAAGTGCATGTTGTGCTTAGCTTTCATCACTACTAAGTTGAGAAGTTGGAAAACAGCAGAGGAGGCGAAGAAAGGGACAGTAATACGAGTAAGAGCAACAATGAGGCAGACATATGGAGGAAGACAGTGACTCAGAACACACACAGGAAGAGATGCACGAAAAGCGAACACAGAGGAGAGATGCAGAGGGAAGGAAGCCCACTGCTTTCAGAGGACAGTCCATGCGGGAGACTTCCTAGGTACTGTCAGGAAGACTGCTGAAACCACGACCTGTTTTCACAGTTCCAAACGTGGAGAGTATTTTACTTCTCATGCATTAAATTTATTCAAATCCGAGAAACGGATGGCTTCTACCTCTTAATTTAAAACAGTTCAGGTACCCTAACTCCACTCTTGTTATGTTCTTAAAACTCCACTTAATTATGGGATTTTATAATAGCATAGTATTACTGTTTTTAAAGGATTCTTTTATTTGCTAAGTATTTACTGAGTGCTTTCTGCGTGTGGGCACAGTTTGACCTTTGAGATACATACATCCTTGCCCTTGTGGAGTCTGCACTGTAGGAGGAAGAAACAGGACAAATTACATTGGTTTATATAGGAATATATACAGTTTCTACATGTGACATTTTAGCAGGATCCCAGAAAAGTTGACCCACATTAAGAATATGGACATCTCTCTTTTGACCTCTTCTGTCAGAATTGTTTTTAGCAAATTATAGGCAACCGATATGGGGCAATAGGTTTATTATATGAAGATCCATGCAAACTGGCTTAAAAAAAATACCCAGAAGATTAATAGAAAGGGACATAAACAAAAAAAAATCACACAGGAAGAACTAATAAATAAACATGGGAAAAATCAAGAAATTGCAAATTACAACAGTAATCAGAACTATGTTCGCCTCTTATATGTGTATATGTACATTTGGTTTTTGTTTTAAATAATACTAGGCATTTCTGTCAAAATGATGGCTCACATACTGCTGTTGAGAGCATAAATTGGTAAAAAAATTATGGGAAAGTTATATCATTCAAACCATAAAAACACTTATATCCTTGGATCTAATAATCCCACTTTGAAGAATCTTTCCAAAAAAGTTATATGTTTAAAGGTGTTCATTGTAGCGTAGTCTTTGTAATTTATTTTATTTTTTTAATTAATTTTTTTCTTCATAATTAGTTTAGAGCACTTAACAATTTTTGCTGTGTTAAGTAACCCTGTAGTTTAAAGAATAGGCTTGGGGGTGTCAAAAGAGCAATGTTCAAAATTGTATTTATCCTGAGTGTAACATTGAAATATGTATATGGACAAAAGCTGGAAGGAAAGGAGTGAAAATAGTTGGGCAGCATCATAGGATTATAGGGGATATTTTTCTCTTTAAATCTCCCTTCCAGAACTTATGAATAATTAACCAGAATCAGCTTTAAGTTCTCAAGAAGTTGAATTCTCTATTTCAACAGTCTGAGATAAATACGGTCTGTTGCCATATATTGACACAACTCTGCTAACTTTTGTCTGTGTGTTTTGCAGTCAACAAGCAGATAAATGACAAAGAACGAGTGGCAGCTGCAATGGAGAATCCCAATCTACGGGAAATTGTGGAACAGTGTGTCCTTGAACCTGACTAATAGCTGTTTTAAGAGCCATTGAACTTTAATTGTTTGATATGTTCGTTTAAACTCTTTGTAAAATGTAAAAGACTCATGTCTAATACATAGGTGATTTATACCTCAAAGCATTTTTTAAAGGATGATTTTCAAGCAAGATTTAATATAAGGTAGTACCTAGTTTGTTCCGTGTATAACATTCTCAGGATTTATAACACTTAAATGATCAGACAAAAATATTTTCTAGTTATGTGTAAGACGAGTTGCTATTTTTCTGATGCCTATTCTGATACAATGGCTTTTCATGTCAAATATTTACTGTGCCCAAATGTATTCAATTGAAATCATTACTCTGTAAAATAAATAAAACAAAGATGAATCTTGTAATGACACATCTTAGATTTTTTTTAATCTCCTCCCCACCAGGACATATTTACTGATTTTAGAGAGAGGGGAAGGAAGGGAGGGACAGAGGGAGAGACACATCAGTGTGAGAGAATCATCGATCTGTTGTCCCTCGTAGGTGACCAGGAACCAAACCTGCAACCTAGGTGTGTGCTCTGACCAGCAGTCAAACCCGTGACATCTTGTTTTACTGGACATACTCCAACCAACTGAACCCCAGTGGCCAGGGCCACCTTTGAATGTTTACTGAATTGTAAATTCAATGTAAATGTTGACTGTAAGACCAAGGTTTATTTTCTGATTATTATGTGGAATCAGGGATCTGAGAACCGAGAACCCTTAAGATCAGGCTGAGGCCCTGCTTTCCTTCAAGGAGAGTCCTGGACCCATTTATAGATGAGGAACAAATGTGGAGACAGCCAGATGACATACGTAATTTTGAAGATCAAGAATTCCCCAAAGCAGTTTTGATGAAAACAATCTACAGTTACAGTCTCGTTTACTTTGTTCAGTTTGTTTTAGGGGATAGCGGTCATTTTGAGTAACGGTGTGGTAGGCAGCCTCCACAATGGTCCCCGGTGAGCCTTGATTCCTGGTATTTGTGCCTTTGTACAGTTTCCTTCCATACTGAGTCACAGCTGGCCAACGGAGTAAATAAAGAATTAAAGGTGACAGTGTGTGATTTCTGAGGCCAGATCATAAAAGATGTTGCTGCTTTCACCCTGACCTCTTGGGTTGCTTGTTCTGCGGAGAGCCGGCCTCCATGTCTGGGGGACACTGGAGCAGCCCTGTGGAGAATTCCAGTGGAGAGGATCTGGAGCCTTCCACTGACAGCCAGCACCGACTTGCAGATCCCATGAGTGGCCCAGGTTGGAAGTGATTTTCCAGCCCTCCTCAGGCCGATGTCTTTATTGGACTCTCAGAAGACCCTGGGCCAGCACTGTCCAGTTAACCCACTCCTGAATTTCTGACCCAGAGAAGCTGTGAGCAATAATAAATGTTTATTCTCACCACTAAGTTTTGGGGTGATTTGTTATGCGGCAATAAGTAACTGACGTAAAAGTTACTAGCATGGAACTCTTCTACCTCAAATTTAATTGAGGATACTAAGGGAAAACAGGAGGACTTGTTTCATGGCTGTTGAGTCCTTTTATCTGCTTGAAGAATATAAGTTTTGAGAGAACTGGGAGGATTTGGTAAGAAGATTGATGAAGAGATTTCTTTGGATAAGCCTGTTGCCATGCTGATTCCAGCCCCCATTTTGGCAGAAGGGTAGGCAAGTGGCTCCTTCCACCACTACAAGCTGAGGAGGAATTCAAGGGGACAACTCAGGGTGTGGAAATGTGTTTTCCTCAATTTGGGCACCCAGAAAGCTGGTGCCTGACTCAGGACTGAGAAAGAAAGCAAGAGTGGGCTAGGGCTGGTGCCACTCCTGCCTAGGAAATCTAGGGGGTGAGAAAAAGGCGAAGCTAACTACTCGGTGATAGTTCTCATGGCCAGGGATGCATGTTTCCTACGGATTGTGCTGTGGGGTCATATCTCACATTGTCTAGCAGGCCATCAACAGAGCCGGAGGAGACCTCCAGAGAACGGTGTTTGCATGTACTGCCTGCTGCCCACAGACTGAGGACCGGAGAGTGAGTGGACAGCTAGGGTGATGATGCAGCTGCTGGGGTCAGGGGTGCAGCAGGAACCTCTGGCAAGCTCATGAAAGTGCCAACCTGAGAGAAAGCCAGCTCCCATCGCCAGGCATGCCCAGAGAGCAGAGTCACCCAGGTAAGTATAGCTGCTTTATCTCCAGTGTTTCTCCCCCAGCTTCTGAGGCAGTGGCAGAACTGCTGGCACTGAATAGGAGGAAAGGAGAGCAGAGGACTCCATCCCACTGCTATAAGTTTCAGGCCTGAAGCAAGCTCAGACTGGCAAAAGAGTTAATGCCAAGTTTGTAGTGTTGACAGTTAGATGTGACTAGTACTCTTATTTATTTTTTAAAATGTTTATTTATTTTTAGAGAGAAGGGAAGGGGGAGAGAGAGTAGGAGAGAAACCCCCATCAGTTATCTCACACACCCACAGCTGGGGCCCTGCCCATAGCCCAGGCGTGTGCCCTGACCAGGGATTGAAATAGTGATCTTTCAGTTCACGCTGGCACTCCACCCACTGAGCCACACCAGCCAGGGCTGTGCCTAGGTACTTTAATGCAACAAGATCATAGGGTTAAATGTAATGGGAAGACGGACAGACCATGTGTTTGCCTAAGTCTTCATCCCTTGGCAGAGGAAGATCATATCTTCTCAACAAAGTTTCAAATGATAGTGGGGGACAAATATAAAGCTAATTCTTATACCACATACAGGTTGTAGAAGTCCTCTTAAGCCCTCTTGGCTTCTGTTAAGGCTCTGCACTGTGGGAAAGTCTCAGCACAGCTTTACCCCCGTGTTCTTCCTCTTTTCTGAGCTTACTAAAAATGCTGTCAGAGAAACCACAGACATTATCCATCAGACTGCTAGCTTTGTGGAAATGTCACTATCAATTCCTGATTTTTTGCTGTAAAAGTTTTCATTGGTCTATCTCTTACAGATATTTAAAAGTCTGTCATCTACCACACATAAATGCAGGAGTAATGAGATGTTGCTGATTTTTAGTCATCACTGTTTCACTTCTTTCTAAATTACAAACCTACCAGAAAAGGTTCTTGTCATCAACACTAAGTTCCTTACTTCGTGGCAGACTGTGATCCAGGTCCAGGGCAAGAGCCAGTATACTTAGTGTGCACAATTTCTTTATTTTCCCACATGGTACACACACGTGCAAATGCACATTTCTGGCCAGCTGCCTTCTAAGATATGAAGGCATTATCAGAAGGGGCTCATGCTGGTTCATAGCCCAGGGTCACATTCACACTAATTGCCAAGTTCTGACCATTACTCATCACTGGAGCCATGATGGCTTGGGAAACTCAGGAAGCCATGTATAGGGCTTGAAGAACACAGCTGCCTTTACATCCCCTTTGCATGAGATCCCGAGACACGAAACTCTCATTGCCAGGTGGCTGTAGTTCATTCAAGTCAGAGATCCCTAGTGTATGCTCTCCTCCATTCATGCACCTGCCTACTGGTACTCTCATTGGCAGATACTCACTGAGCACTTTTTAAGTACCAGGCACTATCCTAGGTGCTGAGGATACGAAGGTGGATCAGCCACTGTCTGTTCTGGAAGTGCATACTTAGTGACCTCTGCTGCAGTTGGTGGGTGATGCAGGCTCAGTCTCATCTAGTGCCTGAGCTTGCCCTGGCCAGGTTGACATGGAAGCTAGACAGCCAGGACCAAAGACAAAACCATACCTTAGGGACTGTCTGGTGAGGAGGCCACTGATGTACAACCAGAAATAGGTCAGTGCTGCCAGCGCCCCCATCCTGACGGCCCTGCTGCTCTTGGAAGCCAGAGGTGACTGTCGTCATCTCCACTGCGGCCAGCATGATCTCTCCTCTATTCTTCCTATTACGTGTGAGTCACTCCACCTTCAAAACCCTAGAGCAGGGCTGATTCCAAGTCACATCTTCATGTACTGGCTGCGAGGGAGGGGAGAGCAAGAAGACTCTGGCCTCTGTATGGGCAGGCCAGCTCTCCCAGCAAGACTCACATCCAGGTGGGAATTCCCCACATTCAGTAAGAGGGTTCCAATGATTAATGTTCACTACATTAATAACATATTTAAATGAATTTGTACTTGACCAAAATAACATATACATACAAATAAAAAGTAGAGGTATACGAGATGTATTATCTAGTCAACAAACGTTTTTTTGGAAAAGAGCCAGATAGCAAATATTTCAGGCTTTGCATCTCTGTTGTGACTATATAACTCTGCTCTTATAGAGCAAAAACAGGCATGACGATATATAAATGAACAAGAGTGCCTGTGTTCTGATAAAACTTTATTTTTGGACACAAATTTAAATTTTGTATAATTTTCACATCATGAAATAGTCTTGATTTTTTAATCATTTAAAAATATAAAAAATTTGCCCTGACTGGTGTGGCTCAGTTCTTTGGACATCAACCCACAAAGCAAAAGGTCTCTGGTTTGATTCTGGGTCAGGACACATGCCTGGTTTGGTCCCCTTTTAGAACATGTATGAGAGACAACTGATGGATGTTTCTCTCCCTCTCATTCTCCCTCCCTTGCATTCTCTTTAAAAATAAAAGTAATTAAGAAGACAAAAAAAAATGGCCCAAACAAAAGAATGGCCCAGATCAAAGCTCCAGAAAAAAATACAACTAAGCGACATAGAGGTAGCCAACCTATCAGATGCACAGTTCAAAGCACTGGTAATCAGGATGCTCACAGAACTGGTTGAATTTGGTCGCAAATTAGATGGAAAAATGAAGGCTATGCTAAGTGAAATAAAGGAAAACGTACAGGGAATCAATAGTGATGGGAAGGAAACTGGGACTCAAATCAACGGTGTGGACCAGAAGGAAGAAGAAACATCCAATCAGAAAAGAATGAAGAAACAAGAATTCAAAAAAATGAGGAGATGCTTAGGAACCTCGAGGACATTTTTAAACATTCCAACATCTGAATTATAGGGGTGCCAGAAGGGGAAGAGGAAGAGCAACCAGTGGAAAAGTTATTTGAACAAATAATAAAGGAGAACTTGCCAATTCTGGCAAAGGAAATAGACTTCCAGGAAGTCCAGGAAGCTCAGAGAGTCCGAAAGAAGTTGGGCCCAAGGAGGAGCACACCAAGGCACATCATAATTACATTGGCCAAGGTAAAAATGAAGGAAAGAATCCTAGAAGCAGCAAGAGATAAGGGAACAGTAACCTACAAAGGAGTTTCCATCAGACTGTCAGCTGATTTCTCAAAAGAGACCTTATAGGCAAGAAGGGGCTGGAAAGAAGTATTCCACGTCATGAAAGACAAGGACCTATATCCCAGATTACTCTATCCAGCAAAGCTTTTATTTAGAATGGAAGGGC